TAGTGATATCTAATACCAGCAAATATCTATTTAAACAGAAGTGCCTTATTTTAATAGGGAACACTATAGGGGACACTGCATAAGAAATTCAGATAATACATCATACGAATGCAGAATGCCTTTTGATATTATCTATAAAGTATGTCTCCAGCATTTCTACAGAACTGTCCCACTTCAATTAATGAATTGCAGGCTCCTTTTATGTGGCTTACTTGATTTCCAGGAATATGATTAGGAATTAGATGTTTAATGCCAGATCATATTCGTAGTCTTTTTCTTGCTACTTACTGGTACATTTATGCAGGCTATCCAGCATTGCAGTAGCTGAAACACAGTTGCAGTTATCTGTGTTTTTGGTCTGTTCCTGTAAACACTTTTTTTTTTTTTTTTTAAACAGTGCTGTAATAACTTAAAAATAAAATGGCCAAGTAACCAGGTTCATTCCTTTAGATGTTTCAGGAAAATATAGATCTCAAATAAGGATTGTTAAAAACTAAGCTGCATAGTAGAGCAAAGAATTTGGCATGTGCTGTTTTTTTTTTTTTTTTTTTTTTTTTTTTGCTTCCCTTTAAATGTTTCCCCACTGCAGCTGGAGTGTTTTAATAATGGTTATATTGGGTGTGTTTCAGACAGCGAAAGATAAATATCGTGAACTGGCTATAGAAGGAATCCACAGGGACTTGGTGTTTCGGTTTATTGAAGTTCAGACCCTGCTGTTGGCTCCTATCTGTCCCCACGTGTGTGAGCACATCTGGTCGCTGCTGGGAAAGGTAGTGATGCTGTTTCACCTTTGTCATTTGGTTCAGATTCAAGTTGTAGTGATTTTTTAATTTGAGTTTGATATCACTTAAGAATATTTTTATGTGTAAATAGAAAAAAAAGAATGTTCATACAGTCACAGGGTATATCTGCTTATTGTTCAGTAAACAGTCAGCATATTGAGCTCAACCTGTCTTCAAGGTTACAGTAAGAATGTGTTACTTCAGTACAGATCACTGCTCATTCTTGTACTGAGAGATGACTTAAAACTAATCCAAATAATGCAACATTCATACACTTATGCATGGAAATTCTTTCAACTTGTGTTGGCAGCCTTATTACAGAAATACAAATTTTGTACTGGTAATTGAGGTTATGTAGTTGATAGCAGATGTGTTTTTATGTATGATCTTTAATGCATGCTCCCAAATGTGTGCTTATTGGCAGTATACTCAGCCCCTTACAACTGGGTTATAGGTGGGTGCTTGTTGAGATTCATGCTGTTTAAACTGCAGTTTCCAATCAAGATATAATTGTTTGAGAAACCCCTAAAAACTAATGTCTCTTAATTTTCCTACATATAATTTTTCCCTTGCTTCAAAGCCCGATTCCATCATGCGAGCCTCATGGCCAAGTGCAGGTCCTGTGGATGAGGTGTTGATTCGTTCTTCTCAGTACCTCATGGAAGTTGCTCATGACCTCAGGCTCCGTCTCAAGAATTACATGGCACCAGTTAAGGGAAAGGTGAAGTGCACTTTTTGTTTGTTTGTTTATTTTACTGTGCTTGTTTGATAATTCTCTGCAGCTTCAGGACTCCTTGATGCTAAATGTTTGTGTTTTTTCTCACTTCAGAAAGCTACTAAGGAGCCTTCTCAGAAGCCTTCTCACTGTACCATCTATGTGGCAAAGAACTACCCACCCTGGCAACACGCCACCCTGTCCGTTCTGCGCAAGCACTACCAGGTGCTCACTCTCGCTTTCTCTGGGCTTCTTGCTTGCTTTTCTGTGGGATTTTTTTTTATGTTTGGAAGACCTATAAGGTGTAACTTGTTATTGAACTATTTGAATGTAAAGCCAAGGTAGTTTTAATGTGTTTTATTATGCTCTTACAACTGGTCAGTGGATTTTGGTGCTTAACGAAAACATCTTGAGCAATGTCATTGCGTTGACAGTATGACCTTATTGTGTTTTGGTACTTTTTGAGCAAAAAGTGACCCATGTTGTTGTTTTCCTTCTGTACATGGATAGCTCTAAAAATTATATCTCTTTCCAGTATATTTCTGGAGAGATATTGGTACTTGGGAGGGTGTATAAAATGACTTTGAGAGAAGTATGTTGAAATGCAGTATGTCTTTTGTTTTAAGCAGAAGAAATAAGCTTTTCTGAGAGCAGCACAACCTTTACTTCTGACTCAGGGGAAACTGATGTAACAAGTGATCCGTGGCAATTGGGTCTGTCCTTCCTGCCTTGAACTTGATGAGCGTCATAGCTGATAGATTGTAGAGTTGTGACTTTTCTGATTTACAATGTTAAGTTTCACATGAGGAATATTGTTTTATATTTCAAGTGTTAAATTTGGGACATTTTTTCCCCCCAAATCGGTGTCCTGACACATTGTTGCACAAATATCTGAATATTGACTGTAAAACATAAATAATTCAGGAAACTAGTGCTTTCACATCTGCTTGAGAGGAGGCTTAAATGTGAGCTTAAAATATGTTCTAGCAGAAAATGTAGATATTAGTTTATGAAGATTGCTGTACTTCTATTGAAGGGAGAAAGGATAAAGTTTCCTATACAGAAAGGTGTTGAGTATGCTCCTTGAAATACCCAAGTCTTTCTAAAGTGGAGATTTATGTTCAGAAGACACCGTCTTGTTCTGGAGATAGCATGTAAATGGGAAGGACCAGAATGCTTAGAGAAGTGGCAGGCAAGAATAGAGAAAATGCAGAAGAATACTATGAGTTGACTGAATGACAGGAGATGCAATTTTCCTTTTTTGCTCAAGCTTTAAAAAGTTTGCTAGCAATTATTTAAAGGGATGGGAAAATGACCATATGTGAAATCGGTGGTTTGCAATTTTACTAGGTGACTTTTAGAGGTCCCTTTCAGCTCAAATTATTCTGTGATTACCCAGCTCGTTGGTGTTTTGGGAAAGGTGCATGGTAGCAGGGGCCGAGTCCTGCATGGATGACACCTATAGTTTTTAATGGAAGTCTGTCGATGTTTTAGGCTGGTGGAGGTCAACTGCCAGATAATAAAGTAATTGCCAGTGAACTGAACGCCTTGCCAGAACTAAAGAAGTACATGAAGAAGGTTATGCCTTTTGTTGCCATGATTAAGGTAGGTGACAGAGGAGCAGTCCTTGCATGGAAAAAGCTTTCATAAATGAATGAAATGTCAGAGCAAGGCAGTGATCCCTGTAACTTGGTGCATGAGTCTTGTTAGTTCCTTTATTTCATCCTAGATCTGCTAGTAACTTCTGACTTCCATCTCTTCTGACTCTCAATCTCTTTTCTCTTTGCCCTTGGTTTGAAACTTCCCTCTGTTCGATACCCTCAACCTGGCTTCCGTTGCCTTAAGGGAATGGAATTAAGCTTATACAACAGTTGCTCCATTTGTTCCTAGAGGTGAATAGTTAGTTACATGCAGGGACCTAGAAACATCTGAGCTTGGACTCCCTAGACCAGTATGTTGTTGCAGATTATGCAGCAGTTCCAGTGTTCACAAAGTCCTTTTGCTTGCATGTTCTGTTTTTCAAAGAAAGGCTTATGTGATGAAGAAGAGCCTGTGATTTACAAATGAAAGTAATTAATTTGTAATCTAGGGAGTCTTGCAGGTTAAAAACTGACAAGAAATTGAGGAAACCATGAGCATGCTGAGCATAATGAAACAGAGCCTCAGAGGAGACAGCTAGCTCAGCACACGAAGCAAGAAAGGCTCAGGAGTTTGAATTCTGAAGAGGAAGTTCTGTTTCAGTGTTTAAAAAAAATGTGACCTTCTGTATTGCTTTGAGTATTTTGTATTGTGACTGTTGCAGTTGGGCTTCTAGATTAAGTTACCTTTACTTAGCATACAAAAGAAATATTATTTCCCTGCAGACAGCTTGTTTGCAACTGTTGTGAACATGTCTTGTTCTTGTATGCTTGTCCTTCATTTTAAACTAGATCATAAAACTGAATTTCATGTGGAAAGTAGCATTGAAAAGTTGGTTTATTTTGAGAATTCTTCACTTGCACATTAAGTAAAGATCATAACTGTGAATGTCAGACACTTTTTCAATGCTATATTAAAAATATGTTCTTACATTTAAAAAAGCATTTAGCTGACTGCATATTCTAATTGCTCTTAATCCGCTCATCAGTGTCACTACTTCCCTGTAGAAGAGACCATGTCACACAAAATGACTTCTGTGCTAGTCTGTTGTGCCCACAGAGAGCTCTCATACTTGGAAGCCAGTTCTTTGCATGACTAATGTGAAGAGTTTGTAATTTTCAAATGCTGTTTTACTTGCCTTCAGAGAGGTTTAATCCAGCTTTTTTTGTCCTCTGACAGGAGAATCTGGAGAAGAATGGTTCACGTGTTCTTGACCTGGAACTGGAATTTGATGAACAGATGGTGCTCATGGAGAATATAGTCTATCTGACAAATACCCTGGAGGTTAGCATATATTTGGTGGATTCATTACTTGGTTTTCATTGGGATCGATGAAAGATCACCATTTCTTAAGGATCAAAGTCTGTTTCTGTTAATTTCTGGGCGCTGGTTGGAGTGCTCAATTAATATTTTTATCAACCTTTTGAATTTTGAGCTTGTTTAAATTTGTCAAATCTAGGCATTTCTAGGTAAGTCCATTAAATACCGATATGAGATGGGCAGTGAGAGGTGAGTAGGGTATTGACATGGCTCCATAGAATGGAGGTGGCTGTTATTAAAAGACTGGCTGTGCTATGACAGTGAACTCCTGTGGCTTTGCCAGGACAGGGGTGGAACAGGTTATCTGGGGAGGCTGTGGGATCTCTGTCCTCGGAGGTTTTTGGAATTCAACTAGACAAAGCCACAGCTGACTTGATCCGGAGTTGGCAGTAGTCCCACTTCAAGCAGGTAGCAGGTGACCTTCACAGCTCTCTTCCAAATGATATCCTTGTGATTCGGACTTGCTGTTTTTGCCATATGTCAGCTTTACACTTGACAATGAAAACAGTTGTTTCGGAGGCCAGATAACTTCTGTTATGATTAAAATTCATTTATTGTTCTTTCCCCTCCTTCTTACAGCTGGATCATATTGAAGTGAAGTTTGCTTCTGAAGCAGAAGATAAAATAAAAGAAGACTGTTGTCCTGGAAAACCATTTTCTGTATTCAGAACTGAGGTAAACACAAAGATTCAGATATTGGAAATATGTGAGAACTTCTTAATTAATAATTAGACATGTCATTTGAAAACTTTGTTCAGCCATGAGCATTATATAGCAGAGATGAATTGCTCAGCATTGGGAACCAACTTAATGACTCAAGTTAAGCTCAAATTATGAAGGAATAAAGTACCAGTATTTTGCTTTCCATGAAACTGGGCAGAGATTTTTTTTCTTGTTGGCCAAATATCCCTTCAAAACCAGAAATGTCTTCTGAAGTAGTTGTGATTTTTTTCCCTCCCTTTATATAGAGAGATAAATGTGATTTTTATAGTTGTAAAGCTTTTTTTTTAAGCTGAGTCTTTAACTTGTGGTGGCTGGAAGACAACTAGGAAATGAGTGATACGAACATAAACAGGAAAATGATTTTTTTTTTTTTAAAAAAAAGATGTGAGAGTATGAAATACTACTCTTTAAAAAAGGATAGATTTTCATCTAGTTAAAACATGAGCCAAAGAATGGAAGTCAAGATTGTAGACTCTGCTGCTTTTAAGTAAGTCTGATTAAATCTCACTTCACTGTCATGTTGAAGTTGTGATGTTGCTTACACTGCCTTTTTTAAGGAATTATAAACTTCTGCGTTGATACTTTGCTGAATTCTGAATCAAATTTTAGTTTTATGAATGCTTATCTATTAACTTATACTGGGCAAATAAATTGCATTCAGTTGCATAAAACTCCATCCAGAATACTTGCTGTTAGACAATGTTTATTTGCTTTTTAGTTGCATGTTTTGTGAGATTTGGGACACAGATACAGATTCTTCTTTAATGTTTTTGTTAACTTTCTTACAGCCCAGCGTATCTGTGTTTCTGGTGAACCCTCAGCCATCAAATGGCCACTTCACTACAAAAGTAGAAATCAGACAAGGAGATAGTAGGGACACAGTGATCAGGCGCTTGATGAAGATGGACAGAGGAATCAAAGGTAAAACTCTAGCAGAGAATACAGCCATTACACAGAGATTATTTAACATTTGTAGGAGTGAAGCGGGACGTGGAAAGCTGTTGAAGTTTGTCATGTTGTTACAAACGCTCAGAAAGAAACAAAGATTTTGTATTTGTGTGAAAAAGTAGAGATAACTCTCTACTAAGCAGGCTTTCCAATGGATTTTCCCTCTTTTTAATCTTTTATTCTGTCACTGGTACACTGAAACCTAGCTACAGATTAATACAGGTGGTATTTCCCCTTTTGCTTTTAATTCTTGCTGGTTATATGTAACCTTAGCCTTGGGATGCTTAAAAAAGCAGGGGAGGGGGGCAGAAAGCTGTTACCAATTGTCTCTTCCATTTAGCCTAAAGTGGATTCATTTCTAGAAAATGAATGAAGCTTTAAAAACTTTTTCTAGTTTAAGCTTTCATGTTTTGCCTGTAATATAATCAGCATGTTTTGCCTCTCAATCCACAGATTTACTTTTTGTGGCAGAAATTCTTTCATAGTGTGACTTAGAATCATCTGAGTTTTTTTAAGAAGTTATTATGACTTTAGCCTCAGCTTCTTTTGCTTTGTTGCAGCCAAAATAAAAGCTGCCTCTTAATGCCTCTATGGTTGACGTAATTGTTTATGGGGTATCTTGCCAATCTGAAACTTCTTTGTAAATAAAGTTTCTTTTCCCCCTCTTCCAATCTGTCCATTGCTAATTTTAGTGTTCTTTTTTTCTCCACCTGCTTGGAAGGTAGTTTACCATGAATGCTGTGGTTTCCTGTAGCTCCATGTCAAACATACATTTGAAATAAACTTTAAGCTTTCAGGGAGTGTATTGAAAGAAAGTAGCCTTCTGAAGGGAAGCGCCGCTAGGCTTTGATTGGAGAATCCAGGAGTTAAAAATCAGTGTGAACTGCTGTAGATTGGCGGCTTGATATGAAAGGAAAACTGGACTTGACCCAAAAGCTCGTGAAAGATTTTTTTTTCTTTTTTCTCTTTTTTTTTAATTGGCTTGTTTTTATTTAAATCTTCACCTCTGGAACAGAGACAAGTGCATATAGATGATGGTGCACACTGAAATAGTATTTCAGAGGAGTATATGATTCTTTATTCCCAGAAGGAGTCTTTATTTCCAGAAGGTGTCACTGCTCTGCTGCTGCATGAGTAATGGAAGGCTGTGCTCAGCGGAAGATTCCCTACTAACTCCCTAGTAACTTTTTTGTCTGTTTAGCAATCTTATGTGTGTGAATTTGAAACAGAAGAGTACTTGAAACAGCTCTCGCCTTCTTCCTTCTCTCAGTTTGATTCAGTTTCTCAGAACATGAGACAGGCTGCTCAGTTACTCAGAGCTTTCACAAAAATAGATAAGGCAAATTTAGTGCTGGGGATATGGCATTAGGACTTGGTATTTGTGCTTGTTTCATTCCAATTTCTGCTAGTAATTCACTGCCTAACTGCTGAATGACATCCTTTTAGTGGGTGTAAATCTTAACATGGATGTTGTTGTTTGGAGAACCTATTTCCTTGGAGGTGTTTCAGCAGTAACAAGTGTTTTTCTTAAGTGTTCTGATAATTTGCGTGATTTTTATACTGTGTATGGAGAACCTGTAATGTAATCAGCAATTTGCTTTTTCTTTTCTTTTTAAAACGGCAGATCTCTCTAAAGTGAAGCTGATGAGGTTTGATGATCCTGTCCTTGGACCCCGTCGTGTTCCAGTCCTTGGTAAAGAAGAAGCTGAGAAAACTCCTATTCTAGAGCAAGCGATTTTCCATATTGACCTGGCTGAGAAGTGTGTTCGTGTCACTGAGAACGGCCTGACAAAGGATATTGGCGACACAATTGTTTATCTAGTTCATTAAGTTGGCTCATACCTGGCTCAATCACTGATCCTGGAAAAGTTTGTAGAGTGACTTTGAGGGCATCTGTAGATGAGTATTTTTTCTTTCTTTCTTTCTTTTTTTCTTTTTTTTTTTTTTAAACCCTCAAACAAGCTAATTTTGCATGTAAGTTCACCAATTTTAGACATGGTCAAAATAAAATTATTTTCCTCCTGCCACTTGGCTCTTCTTGGAAAAGAACAATTTTTCCAACTGCTAACGTGACAGATTCTTCTCCGCAACTGCGGCCTGTGTTTTCAGACACAACCTATCCTACTACCTGCAGAGTTCCTTTCCTCCCCAACATGCTGTGTTCTGTCTATAGAAAATGGTTGTGGATCTCTTGTACTAGATGGAGAGGGAAATATTGCTTGAACATCTCTATATTTGTCTTTTCAATGACTAAAATGACTTTGAATATAACTAGAGTATCTTATATCAACTTAGCATTTCAGAAATAATTCCATGCTGAAGAACTCTTCAGCAAAACTTAAATATGAAAGTTTCAGTGCTTTTTCAGCTCCTATAATAGACATAGATATGAAGTGCCTGTAGCAAAATGTTGTTAAAACCAGAATTTTCCCTTTTTATTCATAAAAGTGTTTGCAAATCTGTTTTAAGTGGAAAGTTAAGTGTGTTTCTGATCTCTCACAGGTTGCTTCTCCTTTCCTCTTTGGGGCCTGAGTCAGCACAAACGATTTATGAATTCCCCAGAAAAAATAACGCTAACGGCTCCTGGTGCGAAGCAGCCGCCCCATTGTGCATGGCTGCCTCGGGGCTCGGTGTAACCTGCTCTCGAGTGGGTTGTGCTGGGGGGACAGCGAAGCACGGCCCTGCCAGGCACGCCTGTGCGCTCAGTGCCCTCTACTATCCCCGTGAAAAGCAGCTTTTGCTGGGGAAAATGTGCAATACAGGTGTAAGTCTCCCTGCTGATCCTCTGCAGTCCTCGTGCTGCTCTGAGGTTTCCTTGTGAAGAGGAAGAGCAGTCGGTAGTCTGGGGTGGACATACAGCATTAGTGGCAGAGCTCACGGTTGTGCAGCGTTTCTGCAGCAGAGGCTGGGGAGCAGAGCTGCTGGCCCTTGCGCTGCCAGGCCTCTTAAGTGTTGGGAACATCACCAGGTAATACCACGTGTGCAGCTGGCAGAGGTGTCTGCTTGCTGGTCAGCTGGGCTTGTCCCCAGGGCCGTTTCCTCTCTGGCTGTTTCCACCCTGGGCAGCCAGGGTGTTCGTGCTGCAGCCTCGCTGGTTGCATCGTGACCTTGTTTCCCTTGAGTGACTGCTACTGGGCGCAGCTGATCCCATTGCACATCCCTTCACCCGCACCAGAAGTCACCCAGCAGCACGGGATGGCCCATGCGAAGCTGAAGTGAATGTGCACAGCTCTGCAGAGCTGCAGGTGGGAAAGCAGGCTCAGGCCAGGAAGCATCCGAAGTAGGAATTGTCAGAGCTTGGAAACACATAGGAGCCATCACTCCCTCTTTGCCTTTTACTTGTGTTGCCTTGACTAAACACCTGCTCGTGAGCGCCGTTGAGGCAGGTTGCTGGGCTCCGTGTCTGATGGCTTCTGTGGCACTGCTCAAACTCCCGGACGAATGCAGGAGCAGAGGGAGCCAAAGCTGCTGTGAGCAAATGGAGATCGTGCACTGCTTGTGAGCTCAGTGGGGTGGGAGAAAGGCGTAAGTGAAGAGCTGCTGGCCTCAGCTGTGAGGAAAGGCTCTGTAAGGGCCTTATAACTTAAGGTTGTATAACCTTACCCCGCTTTATTAATCTGCTGTTTCTGGCAGTGTCCAAAACTGTTACAGGGTGTGTGGGTTTGTTTGTTTGTTTTCTTAAACTAAATTTTGGAGTTCTGGTTGCCTCATTGGTGTCTTTTCAGTGCTCCTGGTGAATCAGGTGAAGTGGTCATGCTGATGGAGAGGAAACAGGGAGCAAAGGCTTCTCACGTAGCCTGGGGTCAGGGGACTGTGAGCTCGGAAGCTTCCGGATGGGCATTTGCCCTGTGCCCATCAGGGAGGCACCTGCACGTCGCAGAGGTCCCTGCTGTGCCTCCATGTGCGGCCTGTGCCACTGCGGGCGGCAGCGGGATGATCCCACCACGGGCCCTGCCCTTGGGGACATCCGGTGTCGCTGCCCTTCCCAGAGGGCCCCGCTCACGTTGTGCAGCCGCCCTCATTCCTGGCAGGGAAGCAGCTCTGTTGGTTCCAACAAGCAGGTCACTGAAAACCTAGCGAGCGAGATGCAGTTACTGCTGAGCTGTTTCCTACAGCTTTTTGTTGGCTGCCAGGAGGTGTCACTGCTATGCTGCTTCATGTGTGTTTGCTGCAGAGGGTTTCTTCTCCCTTTTGCTAACAAAATTCTGGCCTTACTTGCTAATCTTCCTGTTATGTTTTGGTTAGACAAGCCTGGGAAGGAAAGGTGCGTGTGCATGTGGAGTTTGGGTGTGTATGTGGTTTTTTATTATTATTTGTTTTTACTTTTTTCACTCTTTTTTGTTTTTTGTTTGTTTGGTTTTTTTTTCCAATTGAGCAATTTTTTGAAGTACATAATTTTGCAGTTTTAGAGTAAAGAATAGACCTCTTGCTTTCATTTCCTGGCTCTTCTAGTGTTCTGCTATAGTGCCACAGGATATTTCCTTTAACTTGTCTGTGCTTCCATTTTCTTCTTTCCAGAAACACACACTTTTATTTTCAGAAATGTTATGAAATATGAATAAAGAACTGTTAAAAGGTTTGGTGGAGCAGCAAGTGACCTCGCCTGCATCACTTTGTGGCAAAACTGCACGAAATCTGAACTTGCACTTCAGTTTATTTTTAGATGGCTGAAAATGGAAAGTAGACGTCCTTCCTTCCTTTGCGGATTTCTCCAAAGTGAAGTGAGTGCATCCCTGACAGTGCTTCTCTGCCTGTCCCTTGACATGCAACAAATCCTGCCGTTCCAGGTCAAGCTGTCTTCTGCAGAATCCTGCTAAAAATGAATTCACATCATCAAGGACAGTGTGGAGACCTTCACTAACAGATGTGAATTTTGTCTTTGGTGTGAGCCACGTGTCTGTTACACCAGCACTTGACAACGATGCCTTTCACTTGAATCAGAACAAAAAAGCCCCTTCTACTATGTTGGATTTCCCATTCTATTAGCACAGTGCTGAGCTGCCTTATTTGAGTAACTGGTGAGATTTGAACTTGGCATATTTTGCAAGGAAATCTTTAAAAGAAGAGTGTGTTCTTGACCGCCTTATGAAAGTGTTAAAACTGCCATTAATTTCTTGTCTGCTTCATTTATCGTTGTCCCTCAAGGTTGCTTCAGTAGAATAATTTTAGAGCTTTTGCCAGCAGTGGCTATAACTGTTCTCTACTCAAAAGTATTATCATTTTTTTTACAGTTTCTGTTGCTCTGTTGCTGCAAATACCTTTGGGGTTCCTCAGCTGCTGGATGCTACTGTGACATCGGGTTCGGAGTGCTGCGATGTCGGCACTATTCAGGCCAGTCAGATGTTTCTGAGCAGAGAGATTTCTCCTGGTTCCGCTCGTGGCTGGACCTCTGCTCTGTTTCTAGGATGAGTGTTTCCTTGTCTAAGATCCAGTCGCCTTTCATTCTTTCCTTGGTAACACCTGAGGATGGGACTTCCTTCCTCTCTGGAGTAAAGTAAGGAGTAAAGTAAGGAGCAAAGTTCTTGACTGACACTATAAACCTGCTATAAGATATATCTAAATAAAAACCACATAGCTGGTACAGCTGGTGTATGTTTTTTTCTGTGTTTTCAAGGATCACTACTAATATCGGTCAGTTCCTGAACTATTATGGGTGAGTGGTAAAAATTCACCCTGTTGCAGGGCTGTGGGCAGTGATGTGGTTACTGTCAAAGGAGCAGTGAAGGTATCCTCAGCATGAAGGCGTCCAGAAAAATAAATTAATGTTTATTTTTCTTCCCAATGTGCAGGAAGAAGCCTGGAGAGCCTGTGACAACCCAGCCGGGCAGCAGGGCTGGCATGTCTGCTATCACAACGGTGATGTGGACCGGCGGAGCCTGGAGCACCGGCCTCTTCGATGTCTGCAGTGACAAGAAAGTTTGTAAGAGTTTGCGCGACTCTTCTGGTCTTCCTTGAAAGCATCTTTTGTTTCTGAAGCAAAAAAATGCTGAGATGGTAACAAATTCAGACCAAAACAGGATGTAGGTTAGTTAAGACTCTAGGGGCTGAAGATCAGGCACTCTGTTGTGAGGTGAGCAGTGCGATGGGGGTGCCAGAGATGCACCCTCTCTGTGGGAGAGGCTCCCTTTGTGCTGCTTCCCCTCCTTGGCTGTCCGCAGCGCTGGGCGCGGGAAGCAGCAGCCCCTGCCCTTCCCGCCGGCAGGGCTCGTGGGCAGTTCTTGCCGCCGTGTTGCCCAGCTGTCCCCGTGGTTGCTGGTGGCCCCAGGGACACGGGAGCATTGGGTGGCCCCAGATCTCCCACAGAGCCCTAGGGGTGTTGGCCTCACTCGTGGCCCTTGGCGGGCTTGTCCCTCGGGGGTTCTGCCTTGTCCTTGCACTCTGTGCCCAGAGATCTTCCTGCCAGCCCTGGCCTGGGGCAGTGCTCCCTGCTCAGAGCAGCCCGTGGAGCGGCCAGTGGCTGTGCTACCCGGGGACCGAGATCCTGCACTGCGGGATGGAGGGAATTCAATATCCTCCTTCTCATCTCTAATAGGGAACCGTTAGAGTAATTTCTGATCCATTAAATGGGAGATATGTGACTAGCAACAGAATTTTCTTTTGATATTTTATCTCTTAAATAACAAATTGGATTTTTGTGCCCTCTTTCCCCCAGGCTTTATTTTGGGTGGAGGAACTCACATCATGTTCTTCCAGGTTTCTTTTATCTGTCTGTAATCATATGTTAAGAGGAGAAAAACATTGTTCTTAATTTGCATGACAGATATGAGTTGGATTCAAAAGCACAGAGCACTGCAATATTGCTTTCTGCTTTCTGACAGTAATTTTGTCCTTTATTTTGACACCACTTTAAAAGTTGGACTAATTATCTGATATAGAAAGATCTATGATGTTTGGCCAGATATGCGGCAGTAGGTGTTTGTGGCTGTTTACATGGCTCCTAAGTGCCCTCTTGTTTCAGGATTAAACAGTTTGGGTCAGAGTAGTGAGCTATTGCCCCCAGTGCTGTTCTATTTTATTGTGTGTAGGGTCTAGCTGAGCACTGGATGCACACAAGAAGCGACACCCTGGGGGGCAGCAGTTTGTTTTGCACTTTCAGCAACTGCCAAGGGTCTGTAGGATGGAAGGCAAAGACAGGTTTCTGCCCAATTTTCCAGCTAGTGGATTATTTTAATTCTAGTTTTTCACTGGATCGATTGGACCTAAAAATAATGCACTGCAAAGACTTGTTGCTTAAAACTGCAAGCACATCTCTGACCTCCAGCCCTCTGCTCTGTGCAGCACCAGGAGTGTCGTCTCCACTGTGTTTCACTTCTCATCACAAGTTAGGTGGGAGGGTTGAGGCACTCTCATTTTCGAGCCTTTGGCATTTTCAAAATAACAAATCACTGGAATAATGGAGGAATTTCATTAAAAAGGGACTCACAGATGAGGTTAACAGGAAGCATTATTTAAACAGTATCCTGTTTAAAGTACTGTTGGTATTATCATGAAACAGACTTAAACAGTGTGATTTCACAGTGAAGGTCCTGGAGCATCAGCTCTGCTGAGGCTGTTTTCCCAGATGAATTTATTCCTGAACTGCAAACCAAGGTGATTTAAATGAATTGCAACAGACTGATAGCAAAACATTACTGAATGTGCCCTAGGCAGAAACAGTGCAAGATAAAGCCAACATACCCAAACGGGAGCCAGCATCACCTTATTAGATGCTGTAAGGATGATGCATTTTACCCTTTGCTCCTCTGTCTTTCCTAGAAAGATGCTTCCTAGATTGTGAAGTCTGTTTGCACTAGCACTGGGGACACAGCTAGAAAAGCTTCATCCAGATAAGAGCACCATTTCCCCAGGTAGTGGAGATGGTCCCCGGAACCTGTTGTGTGAGGGGACTAAACCGGGTGTTGGATATAGAATTGGCCATGAATAAGATAATTTTTTTAGAATTCAAGCAAGGTTTTGAGGTGGGGAATAATATGAGATGGAGGGAGATATACATGGCTGTCACTATTTAAAACAAAAAAGTTTGGTTTATACCACATATCGTTTGACTACAGTAAATTCAGGATTGAAGGTCCTATTCTCAGGTACACGACTGTTATCGAGAACTGTTTATTCGTTTATTTGAAGGCAGCAGAGTTCAAAAACCTTGTTAGTTAGAACTGACTTACAGTGCCAGTTGTCAGGGGCACCCTCCAAATGTTCCAGATCTTCCTATCTGAAGAGCAAGGGAGAGGGAAGAGGAAACAGAGCCCAGGGTACTGGTAGGATGAATAAAGCTGGTGGAAAAACATCCCTACTCCCTGCTGTAAACGTGTAGGGCTGTTGATAGCCCATCGGGAGTTGTGTCGGGTTCTGGGTGCAGCGATGCGGCGGCCGCGCGCTGCGGAAGGGGCTCCTCACCGGCCTGTCCCTGTGCTTGCCGCAGGTGTCTGTGGCACTCTGTGCGTCCCGTGCCTGGAGTGCAGCGTGGCCCGGCGCGCCGGCGAGTGCTTGTGCTTCCCCCTGCTCCCGGGGGCCTCCTTGGCGCTCAGAGTAGGGGCCAGAGAGAGGCACAAGATACAGGTAAGTCTGTGTGGAGGACTCCTCTTTTAAGCGGGTTTCACCCTGCGTGCGTGACCACGGAGGTGCCCTGTCCCCAGGACCCTGCTGCTGTAGCTGTGTGTGGAGGCAGAGCCGGACGCGTTCGCGCTCCGGAGCGGCGCCAACAACCACCGTGTCGATGATGCACATGTGAGAGGTTCATCTGGGACTCGGTCCTGGAGAAGATGGATTCCACCCACTGCCCCCTACGCACTGTTCACACAGGCTTCTGCAGGATCCTGCAGCCAAATTCCATTTTGATCTGAAAATCTGTTCTGTTACCTTGATGCATTTTTAAAGCAGAACTAATGCATTAAGTCTCTAGAATTGCCCTTTTCCTTGCACTGAGGGAGAAGGAGCGTTTTTTTTTTATAATAGAATTCCAACTCCAAGCAACTACTCATGTTTTTAAAGTGCTTTGTGAGAGCAGGATTGTATGTGTGTCTGTGTAGCTGCTGTAGAATTGCATAGCCCAGAGCTGATGCTATAAAATATACATTATTGTGTAATCAGGGTGGCAGGGAGCAAAGAAACCTTCACATGGTGCTGGAAACCTCCCTTGTATGCAGTACTGAGGATCCTGAGAGCTCCCTGTCCCCAGCGATGTTTGTGAGTGTCCAGTGCAGCCTTCTCTGGTTTGAGAGTGTCATAGGCAAATGCTCTAGGAGCATGGGCTGAAGCAATTGTCACTTGAACCTGAGTCAGTCCAGGGTCATTTGCTGAATTAGGTCTGGACCTGGCCATGGCTTCTCTGCTCTTGGGACTGATCATAGTAAGGAATGCACGATGAAGTGGAAAAGGTGATTCATGATCATTCCACTTGTATAGATCTGTATTAATTCTTATTCCAGGGGACCATTTACGAAGACTGGATAGCAGTTTACTGCTGCTGGCCTTTTGCTGTCTGTCAAGTGGCCCGAGAGCTGAAGAGGAGGGCTGTGACCCAGATCTGTGAAGTAAATGCCATTCCTGTAGCTGAAGACGTCCTAGTTAGAAAAATCCCCAGCAAGGGAGCCTGAGTCATGATTCCTTCTTTCCATCCACTCTTCCTCCCTCGCCACCCACAATGCAAAATGCCTTTTAAAAATAAAATGCACGAGTACCTCATAGCAGCCTTTCTGCTGCTGCTTGTTGTATTCTGTATTTTGCGCTCTGGTATATTGCCTACTGAGCTGCTTTAGGCAGACTAGCAATAAAGCTGTTTACTGCTGCAGCAGTGGCTTGGAAGTGTGAACCTGAGTTGCTTTTTCTGCCTAGACCTGTGACCTGAAAATGCTGTGCAGAACCCTGTAACCGATGGGAACAGCAGTGACCAAGTCACTCTGCACCTCAAGACATTTTATAGCACTAAGACAAAGTAAAGGGGTAGTAACACAGTGCAGTGGTGAGAGGTGAGGCTGGAAGCAGGACCCAAGGTCTCTTGCCTGCCTTTCCCTTTCTTGCACATTGCCTGAGACGAACTGGGGCCCCATTTAACATAGGACTAATTTGAATTTCTCTTTTTATCCAGAGATTTCGAAACCCCTAAAAGTTGGTGCTAGGTGTTACTACATTTAATTGTGGGAGATGAAGAACATCAGTGATTGAAAATAGTAGCTGTAGATCAGTTCTGAGCATTCCAAATCAGCAGGCACTTGGCTAGGGAAGCAGGGCCGAGCTCCTTGGTCCTGCCTTTGCCACCGTACAACCTCCCTATCTGCTTGGGATATTCTGGGCTGGCAAGTGGCAAAACAAGTGTGGGATATGAAAGGGGAAATAAGAATTCCTGTCTCATGCAAAAGCAGTTTTAATGTCAGCACAGTAGTGTTTACAGGACGGAGTAACACACACGTGTGGCCCTGAGGACCTGCTGCCCCTGTGCCGAGCGCTGCGGGAGGAGCTGCCGGCGCCGAGCTCCGAGCGCGGCTCCGAGCCCGGACACGGTGCTGCAGCCTGGACGAGTAACCTCCGACAGCTTAAACGGGAAACCTCTGCTTTTCAGTTACGCGAATACAAAATATCTCTATTAATAACAAAACTTTTTTTGTTTGTTTATTAAGTTTTTTCTTCTCCCTAGTAGCATGTTAAATTGGGAAAAAAAAAAGTTTTTAGAAAACAAGGTTCACATCATGGAAAAATATTAAGCGTAACCAACTTGTATTTTTGAGCAATAAACCAAATGCATATATTTATTTTTCTACCCATCACCCAATAAGGGAAGATTATATATTCTACTGTTTCTAAACATATACACAAAAATAGTCTTTTTTTTTCCTTTTATAAAACATATTTGTAACATTTCATACATTTCAGAGTAATGTTTTCTGGGTGTAATGTAGAAAGAAGGTGACAAAATCTACTGGTCTATTA